ATTCATACTTCGTACATTCCATGTTCCAGTTTTCAATGGATGCTTACAGCTGTTTCTCTTCATTTCAAGTTGTTGCCCATCAGCAAATGCAGGTTCTGTGTGCTTTTCTCCCCCGAGCTTAACTGTATTCATGTCATATGGTCATCCCTACTTTTATGTAATAGAGAATGTGAAATAAGTATATTTTCTCAAGCTAAATGGGTACCTGATGAAACCAGGACTTCAAGATGGTGAGTGGGGTTGGGATATACTGGAATCGGGAGACATTTGAATCAAGGAACCCGCTTGGTAGTGATGTTCTGGGCATTCAGTGATGAGAGTCTCATGTAAGGTGTTATTTGGAAGATAAAGAGGAATTAATTGATGACAAACACTTTCAAGAAAGAATAAGAAAAATTTAGTCAAAATTTGGATTTAGGGGAAGAAAGAGAGGCAGGTGCATCGTGGAATTTTGTGATTAGTTCCTGGAAGTCACGTCTTTATCTGAAATTACCTGTTTGTCGCTGTTGTTGTTCGGTGCCATTGAGTCCATTCTGACTTATAACTACCTTGTAAAGGGTTTCCAAGGAGCAGCTGGTAGGTTTCAATTGCCAGCATATCGCTAGCAACCCAGTTTATTCCCCCTGTAATGGGCCATTTAGGAGTCATTTCAAAGCTACTATGGAATCCTGGTGTGGCGCTGTAAGATAAGCATTGGACTGAAAGGTTAGTTTGAACCAGTGGTTCAAACTCACCAGCTATTCCTGGGAAATCCTAAACAGGATTGCTGTGAGTCACAACTGATTCCATGGCACTTAACAACAACAACCACTAAAAGTTCACTATCTCTTTATTTCCAAAATCCAATAAGATCTTTGAATTTAAGGTTTTTATAAAACTGAAATGATTTAGTGATAAAACTGAAATGATAAAAGAGTTTTCATTTATCCCACTTAGTGAGAACATTCACAGAGCTCATTGCAGAAATACGAATGAGCTTGGTGTGGCCCCAGATGCAACTCCATTGTATTATTTAATATATATATACATTTATATATAATAATATATGTGTATTTAAGTTTTTATTGTGAATTAAGTGATAGTTTACATGGAAGAACATCGGTTTTACACTCATCCTATTGTATTTTGTTTCATTGCAATGATTACAATCCCCTCCATGCATCATTCTCAACAGTATTCTCTTCCATTTCCTCTTTTTTTTTTTTTTTTTTAAATGTACACACATTATATAATATATTCTTATGACATATATATCCTATTACCTACCTGACAGCTAGAACAACTTCTACATATTAAAAGACATTTGGCCCCAAGGCTTTCAGGTAAGGGATTGTGGCCTTGTAGAATATTTATTTGGTACATGTCCTTCACTATGTAGAAATAGACTATGTGTGGTGAATGGAAGCAGAACATCTGAAGAAGTTGAAACATTTACATAATTATGACCTTGATCTATGATGTGGACTCCCATTCTTACAGGGTCCCAATAGGTCTGACGCCACCTCCTCCTTCTCTTTGATCCCTGAGTGTGATGGTCATCAAATATCCTCCCCCCTCAGTCTCTATCCTTTTCTATTCTAATACTGACCTCCTGCCTAGGAAGACCCTGCTCTCTAACCTTTAGGACTAAGGTTAATTTTGGGACAAAATAAGACCCTGACCTACTGCCATCCATATATCCTCTGGATGCATGTGGACATGTGAACTTCAGGGACACTTCTGCCTAGGTGCTTGCCATCTGAGTGTACCTCAGGCACCTCAGAAGCAATGTGGCATCTCTGCCACAGATTTATTGCCAAAATGTGTTGTTCACAACCCGAAGAATACAGTGGGGTTCCAGGAAGAAAAAGCAGTCAGACAGGTATGTTCTGACCAGTGCTTGGATATCCTTGGATTGATGCTACCAGGTCCCTCTTCGTCTTTCAGCTTACAACTGGGATGCCCATCACCAAGTCTCCTTGAGCAGTGAGTTAAGTCACCTGGTGGCAGAGGTCCGAGCTTTGAGGGGGCAGCTGGAACATAGCATCCAGGTGAACAACTCTCTGAGGCTGCAGTTGGAGCAGCAGTTGGATGGTGGTGCCGTCAAAGCCAACCTTAGCCCCTCATCTGTTACCCAGGACTTCCCTGCTGGCATGGATCCTGGGGACCAACAGCCACTCTTCCAAGGTAGGAAGAAAAGGGGATTAGGAAACACGCAGCCATGGGGCAGGCAGTTCATCAAGATGTCTAAAGTTGAAGGGGCGGTCTTGCCTCTCCCATGCTCTTGAGTCAGGTTGAACCCAGAGATACTTTAATGCAGTTCACTGAGTGAAAGCCTGAGACCGAGGGTCAGAACTGGCTCCACATATGCAGTTCGGCATTTACAGCTTGCTTGCCTCGGGCAAATTGTTTAAACTCTCAGGTATGTAAGCCTTGGCTTCCATATCTTTGAGATGAGGATAATAGTAATGTAGACCTTGGATGATTACTGCAGTCCCTGGTTGAAATACATGTTTACCATAGTCAACTGCTAACTGAAAAGTTGAAGGTGTGAGTCCAACCAGAAGTGCCTTTGAAGAAAGATCTGGAATTCTACTTAGGAAAAATCAGGCATTGAAAACTCTGTGGATACACATGGGATCTCCAAAAGTCAGGACTGTCTTGAATCTTGCTGTATGATTCTTCTGAGCATTAAATGAAGTAATTTATCAGTGCCTGGCACAATAACAATTGCTCAATAATTAACAGCTATATATGCTAATGGGGTCCTGGTGTGCTGCTGTAGGATAACCACTGATTGCTAACCACAAGGTGGGCAGTTCAAACACACCAGCTGCTCTTTTAGAAACCCTATAAACAACAAAAACATATACTCTTTTAGAAACACTTAACAACAACAAAAACATATACTAATATCTATTCCTTGCATTTGTCTAGGACAAATTAACTGAATGTTTTGTTCCTTGCATTTGTCTAGGACAAATTAACTGAATGTTTTCGAAGATGTAGTTTTATCAGAGACAGGAAGTTCCACTATGTCTGTATTTCACATGAGAACCAGAATTAGAACCAGATCTTCTGATTTCCCATCTGTCCCTCTGTGCCCTATGTCAGTATTGCTGACCTAGTCATAGGCCCTAGCCTGAGTTTCCTTTTTCTCATCCATGAGGCAACGAGCTGTGTGGAAACACATTCCTCCTCTTAAGGAGATCAGGACAGAATTGGATGGGGAAGTATTGGGTGATGAGCACCTTTATTCCAGGGGACAGTTGTCCCCTTCTTCTGCCCTATCTCCTGCCTGTCTTTTCTGACGGATATGTTTGTCTAGCTCTCCCCTCTCATCTCAGCATTCCTCATCAATCTCACATCCCCAGATTTCAATATGAATGCTTAGACTATTCCCAAACAAGTCTGTTACACATTCCACTTTTTCTTCCTCTTCTTTCTGTTTCTTTTTGATGCACATTAATTCACCATGTCCACTCACCTCTGTGGCCAGATCCTTCATTTTTATTCTAATCAGGGACCACTTCTGCTTGTGCCTGCTTTTCCTGGGTCATGCTAACCTTTAGTCTTCTCGGCTCTATTGTTGTTTTATGCCGTCAAGTTGGTTCTGATTCATAGCAACCCTCTATAGAGTTTCTGAGAGTGACTGGTAGGTTTGAGCTGCTGATGTTGCTGTTACCAGTCCAGTGCTTACTCTAAAGTGCCACATCAGGCTCTGTTTTGTTGTTGTTAACTTCTGTCAAGTCGATTCTGACTCATAGCGACCCTCTATAGGGTTTCTGAGGCTGTAAATCTTCTCAGGAATAGAAAGCCTCATCTTTCTCCCACAGAGCTGCTGGTGGGCTCGAACCACGGACTTTGTGGTTCACAGTCCAATGCTCATCCTATAAAGCCATCACACACTCATTAATCTACCTTATTTGTCACATGAAGGTGATTCTCATGTGATCATGTTGCTGTGACTCTGAGCGTAGCACCTGGCATTAGAGACTGCTCACACACATCAGGCACAAGGTCTGCCCTACCTGGTGGGGTCATGATAGTTGTAGTGACCTTCACTTCCAACTGCCCAGGTTCCCATGACAACAGCGAAGACCCAGCCCCTTTGGCTCAGTCACTCTTCCTCTTTCTCACCTAGCACAGAAGCCTGAGCAATAAACCAAACTCCAAGCCATGTTTACCTGAGCAGGGTCATATTTGTGTTCTTTGTGACACTTTCCCATTCTTCTACCCTAGAATTTCTTCCTGGTCTCCACCCAAACTTCTGTTTCCTTTTCTTCTCATACTGTTAAAGTGTTTCCCATCCAACTCACCAGAATGATGATCGAATGTTGAGTTTAATCCCCTATCCATCCTTTCATTTTTTTTTAAATTTAACATTTAAAACACATATGTTGTTGACGTTGTTAAGTGCCAGCAAGTCGGTTCCGACTCATAGCAACCCTGTATAGGGTTTCCAAGGAGCGACTGGTGAGTTTTAACTGCCAACCTGGTAGTTCAAACTGACCTTGCAACCCAGTGCTTTATTACACAGCACCACACCAGGTCTCCAAAACAAATAGTATATATATATTTGCATATTTCTATTAGGTTCCAAGGCGTTTTAGACACCACAAACATGCAAAATTAAATTCAAAAGAGTTTATAAAAATATAGCTAATAATTTATCAAACTAGAAGTTGCTTTTTAATTGAATACCCTTCAATTAAAAGAACATCTTTTTGTTCCTGAATAATGAAGCATATCAAACTAAGGCATTCGATTGCTTTTGACTGTGGTATATGGGTGATAGTCATCGAAGAAGAGGCTGTGCATGTGATTCATGGGCTGTGTGATCCAGGGTTCTGACAGTGACCATGCTCTTCACTCCCTAGATTCCCTGTCTTCCCCTCCGGTTCGGGATGTTGGCTTGAGTAATCCGGCTCTGGTCTTCCCTTGCTCTGCTCTTGGTTCAGAAACCTCCATCTTCAGCAGGACAAATGGTAAATATGGGAACGGAAGGGCTCAGGAACAGATGAGGAAGACAAAGTAATACAAGCGACCCTTGGTTGTATACACCTTTCTGTATTTGGAGATTCTTACCTGTGTACCTGAAGGTCTTTAGCCCTACTGGCTGTCTTTCTGGATTATTCTTCTTCCTCCTATGATTTGTCCTAAGGAGCTCTGGTAGCGTAGTGGTTACGAATCGGGCTGCTAATATCATGGTCAGCAGTTCGAAACTACCAGCCTGTTCTGCAGAAGAAAGATGAGGCTGTCTGCTCCTGTAAAGATTTACAGCCTCGGAAACCCTGTACAGGGTCGCTATGAGTTGGGATCGACTCCACAACACACAACAACAGCAAATGATTTGTCCTACTGCTCAGTTTTACTTCGTTGCTCTATTATCGCTCTATTCTTGATAGGACTCTCTGTATCCAGTTTGATGATCTTATCTCTGTATCTTCTCTATCAAAAAAAATTAATAATACTTTTAATGAATACTTTATTTGTCACTAAGGATACAACCACAGCCTAGCAATTTTATCATTAATGAGATAATGTAAGAAAGAATAAAAATATATACCAAAATATCTCTATGGACTTCACCCTATCCTTGTACTTTCTAAGGCTATTCCTGGTGGCTTCTTTCACTGTTTGGCATCTCTTTTGGATTGAAGCAAACTGAGTATATGTTTATGAATAATACTGGATTCTCTTCTGCTGTGGTTTTATTTTTCAGAGATGGATTTGGATACTTCTCCAGTAGTGAAGAACCCTCCCAAACTGGAGGGTGAGGCTACTGATGGCTCCTTTGCCAATAAACATGGTCGCCATGTCATTGGTCATATGGATGACTACAGTTCCCTAAAACAGCAGATTGGAGAAGGCCAACTGCTGGTCAAAAAGATAGCCTCTCTCATGAGATCAGCATGCAACTTCCCTAGCCTTGAAGCTCAAGGCACAGAGGTAATCCTATGTGTGGCTCTTAGGTGCATATTCTCCTGGTTGTCCTTTCTTCTGAGTTTAGTTCATTCTCCCACTACCTTTTTTAGCCTCTCCATCTTCCAGCAGCTAGGGGTTCATTTGTCTACCCAGATAATCCTTTCTTCTCTACCTCCTCTTTTCACTGTAAACTCAACTCTGTTTGAGATGGAGTTGATTTGATATTTCCTTCAGTACCACAGAAAACAAAAGCGTGCTGGTGATGTGATATAGGATAAGTGCTGGACTGCTAACCACAAGTTGGTAGTTCAAACCTATGAGTCGCTCCTCTGGAGAAAGATGAGACTTTCTATTCTTGTAGAGACCACCCCCACCTTTGGTGCCGTCAAGTCAGTTCCAACCCATAGTGACCCTGTACAGGGTTTCCCAGGAATGGCTGGTGAGCTTGGACTGCCAACCTTGTGGTTCAAACTGACTTTGCAGTCCAGCGGATTAACCCGTAGGACTATACCAGGACTCCTGTGTATAGGGTTTACAGCTTTGGAAACCTATACAGTGTCTCTGTGAGTCAGGACTGACTTGAGTGTTCCTCTGGTAGCATAGTGGTTACGAATCAGGCTGCGAATCGCAAGGTCAGCAGTTTGAAACTACCAGCTGTTCCGTGGGAGAAAGATGAGGCTTTCTGCTCCCGTAAAGATTTACAGCCTCGGAAACCCTGTACAGGGTTGCTATGGGTTGGAACTGACTCTACGGCACTTAACAACAACAACAACTACAGAAAAGTCTGTGTAGATTGTCATCATCTGTAGTAGAGCATTTGCTTAGTGCCCACATGTACACGGTGCTGGATGGAGCACCCTTTAGTGGCTTATCTGTTATAGGCATATTGAAACACACTGTCATCTGTGAGCAGGATAAAACCACTGAGTCAGAGGGATTGCATCTGTATAGTCCGTGTGTGTGGAAGGAGCAGAAGGTTGGCAGCTATGGCCTCTCCTTGTTCAGCCTGAGCAGGGGTGGGAAAGCATTCAGCAGAGATTCTCAGAGTGCTCCCCTGCTAAGAGACACCAAGCACCAATTGTGCTGTCATGGCAGGAGGGATACTCGGATGCCCAGGGATAGCCTCTGCCTCCAAGGAGACACAACTCAAGAAGGAAAGACGCACATCCACGTAAATGAACACAACGAAGTGCTACAGGCAGAATGTTAGAAGTTGCCCTCTGTATTTTGATAGCAGAAATGCAAACATGGTTATTTATACCAAGGAAGCAGAGTCACAGTTTCACAGAGGGCATCACAGGTGGATGAGTCTTGAAGCTGAGTATATTCTTCGGGTGGAGAAGGGCATTCCAGGGAAAGTTGTGGGCAGCACCTCAGTTCTCAGAGGCATAAGTGGTTCAGCTCAATCAAAGCATAGTTGTAATTTGGGGAAGAGGTAGAGGTGCCAATGCAAAAAATAAATAAATAAAAATTAGGGTTTTGGAATTGATAGCCTTGAACATCTACTAGAAAGGTTAAAGGTTAAAGAGAGAGAGTCGGCAACCCTGAGACCAGAAGAACTTCATGGAACTAGATCCACTGCTCTGAAAGGGATAACATTAGAAGGTTCTGGATAGAGTGGGAGAAAATGTGGAATGAAACTCAGTCATAAAAGAAGACCAGTCTTACTGGTCAGATAGAGACTGGTGGAATGTCTGAGACTATGTCCCTTAGTCACTCTTCTGGTCTGGAAACAAACTCACTCTCTTGGCTCAGTTTTCAGCTGAACAATAGATAGTGCCTCTAAGGGAACAGTAACACCAGGGAGGTGTGCTCACCTGGGAATAATCAACCATTTGCGATCAAAAGGGCGGCACTTACCAAGGTCAAAGGTCAGAAGAGTTAGGAAAGAAGGAGAAATGGGCAGAGGAAACCCAGGAAGGAAGTTGGATAGTACTGTTACATTGTGGGGACTGACATCAGTAAGATGAGACAAATGTGTATGAGTTTTTGAAGGGAAAACCCATGGACTCTGTATACCTTCCCCAATTTACAATAAAAAGATTTTAAAAACAAAAGAAAAAAACATAGGAGAAAGCATGATTCCAATGATGTCTTACAGGTTACACCTTTCAGGTGTAACCTGTAAGGGTCAGTGCTACAATAGGAGATCTTGGGTCATGGGGTAGGAGTTTCTCAGTTCTGCACATCCATGTGCTGCCACTCACCCACAAGGGAAGCTTAAGCCCTGTGCTTGGGGAAGAAGAAGACAAGAAAAGGGTGGCCTCTCAGTCCATTTGTGTCCATCTACTTCCTCCATCCAGGTGCTCAGCTATGAGCATGCCCATGAGCTTCGGAGCAGTGCCCGTGCCCTGCACCACACCTTGGAGGAGTCGGCCTCTCTCCTCACCATGTTCTGGCGGGCGGCCTTGCCAGACATCTGCAGCCCCACTCAGTCAAGCAAAGTGGTAAGGGACCAGTATCCTTTACTGGCTTGAAACCCAGTTCTTCTGCCTCTAAATACTGTTCTCTCCTCAATTGCACTGAGGTTCTGAGGATCAGGAGCTGACTGGTGATCTGGGGAAAACTGGCCCTAGGACAGCATCCTTGGAGGGAAAGACCTCTGACCCATAGGGGAGTGCTCTGTGCAGCTCTGACTACACCCCTTCTTCTCCCACCCCCTGACCCTGGGACATGAAATCAACAAGGAAGAGAAAAGGCAGAAAGAGAACCCTGGCAACGTTTAACTTTCTGAAATTTGACTGAGCTGAAATAAAGGGGCACATTAAAACTTCATCACCTCCTACCCCTAAACTCAGTTCCGCATAATCAAACATGATCCCAGAAGGTCACTGTGTCACCATATCACCCCAGTGGAATCCCAATACATCATGTATTTGCATGCCCAGGCCTGCCTGGGGAAAGTCTACTCCATTAGGGTCCTCTCAGATTTCAGGTTGATTCTTCAACTGGCAGAGCCTTCAGCAAGCCCCTTCCAGGGCTCCCTCCCTAGGTGTTCAAATCCAGATTTACATCACAGAGAAATGATGGGACGCAGCTATACTAATTCCAAGGAGAAGGCCTTTGTCATCTTCAGGCTGACAGAGATATTTCTAAACTTGCAAACTTTCCTCAAGTCAGGCATACTACTCCTGCACTAGCAAGCTTTACTTGCATGCCAGAGTGATGTAACTGACGTCAGGACTAAAACTGAGCTGTGTGTGGTCCACAGTCGGACCTTTCAGTTCCAGCCTGGACTCAGGTTCTTTTCAGCAGCTAAGCTGCATGGGGGCTTCCAGGATCTCAGCATTTCCGCCCAAGGTCTTCTTCATAAGTTATCACCAGCTAGAGGGTTTGCAGTCCAGAAAATGAGAAGATTGGGGAATCCTACTTTGGATTATTGTTATTGTTGTTGTTATGTGCCGTGGAGTCGATTCCGACTCATAGCGACCCTGTACAGGGTTTCCAACGAGCCATAAAGCATGTGGCGCTTTAGACTTCTGCCCTTCTTCCTCAGGGAGCGTCCATGAAAAGAGAACTTCTGGAACTAAGAACCAAGCTCTCCAAACATGAGACCCTCCTTCAGAGCACAACTGAGCAACTGAAGACTGCCAACCAGCAGAAGGAGAGCATGGAGCAGTTCATCTTCAGTCAGTGTAGGTGTCCGGGGGAGGTGGTCTTCTTGACTCCACACTCATGCTGCTGAGAACAGTGGCCAGAGGGGCTGGGAGATGTCAGGAAGGAGGCGTCTGCTGTGACTTCTCTGATCTCCCTACGCCATCTATAATTGTGGATACAGAGAGTGGGGAGGATCAGGGACAGCAGGGGAGCCCCAAGCTCAGTGGCCAGGAAGAGACACTTTAGGAAGTACCTGTCACAGCAAGTGTGGGCTCAGCTGATAATTTCTGCTCTGTTGGACTGTTGTGTTGTTTCAGTGACCAGGACACATGATGTTTTGAAGAAGGCCAGGACAAATTTGGAGGTAAGGTAACTACTGCACCAGTCAGAGCCACCCAAACCATCACCATTAATCACCAGAGGATGCAGGGGGTTCTATGCCTGCTTTGACCTTCCGGGGGATTGCTGGCCACTTCTAGGATCACAAGTTATCTTCCCCTTGGTCAACCCCCTTCTCTGACATTTCTGTCCCCTCGAACATGGGCAACATCTTCCCTTCTTTCTGCTCCAATTTCCCCTTCATTAGGCCAGTCAGGAGATGAGAGAAGTAGAGTTCAGTTGTTAGCTGAGGTCAGAGGACAGAGAGAAGTCAGCCTAGGAGTTGTGTTATGGTGACTCCCGTGTTACTATAGGAACACGTAAAAGCAAAGTGTCCCTTAGTAAATTTATTTCACTGTGAGCTACTGAGTTGACACCAGCAATTTGATTTTGTTATTTATTTTTCCGTAAGAATCATCAGATAAGAGAACCCTTGGGGTTTATTGATAGAAAAGGATTTGATAAAACACTGAGTATTACAGGGAAATATTTTATATGTAGGCTAGATGTTCTGTACATTAAAAAATATCATAATCATCCCCCAGAAAACAGTTGGAAGAAAAACTTAAGGTGTAAGAAATGGTGTCAAAAGCAGAAGCTACAGCTTTTAACTTAGGCAAAAAGTTTTGCTATCTGCAATTGAGCATATTCCCTGAAATGTCCTGGAATTGTAACCTGTGGGATATTGAATTCTGTAGTGTGAAAATGGGTTGGGGCTCTGATAAAATACTACTTTTTTACTTTCTTTCTGCTAATCCCCTTTTATTTTTCTCTGATGCTCCTTTTCTTTCCTGAGCCTCTTTAGACGAACACTTACAAGATTTCTTCCATAAAGCCTTATTGCTGTCCCCACAAAGGTAACCCAACAGCCTCAAGTCTTGGCTAGGAAGCTTTCCTGAGACCCTGGAAAGGGTCTGAGGCCTGTGTCCCCACCTGTCTGGTTACTAACTGGCTGTGTGGCTTTGGCTGGCCCCTTTACCTCTGTGAGTCCGCTGCCCCTGCCTTTAAAAGGTGGAACCAAACTTAGATGTTCTCTGAGGCTTTGCTGGCTTGGCCTCTCCCTCTCTCATAATAAAGTGGACATAAACGTAACAGAGGCATTTCCTTGAAAAATGTCCTCTCTTTCCCACAACAGGCTTGTTTCATGTGTGCATGTCACAACTTTTTTTCTGGGGTTGACAAAGGCTTCAAGTGAAGTGGACTGAGAGTGGATTGGTCCTGAAGAGGTAGTGGTGGGAGCCAGCCCCTCTAGTCTGCAGCAACTTTGAGCAGGGTCATCACCGGTGGACAGTGTGGCGGGGGCTGTTCTCTAACCTGGGGACATCGGCTGCTCCTCCAGACTGCAGTCCATCCCCTGCACCCTCCTCTTAATAGGCTCACCCCAGCCTCAGGAGCCTCAGGAGCCCTCAGCGAGGCCTGACCAGAGATTCTTAGTGTGGTCACTCTCTTCTCTGCCTCCAGGTGAAATCCCTACGGGCTCTGCAGTGCACTCCAGTCTTGTGACCCTTGCCTTCCAGGAGCCTTGCAAGAAGCGAAGCCACCAGAGGTCCTTAAAACAGCAGGAAGGATGGGCCTGTCCCCCTTTCTTGCAGTTGCCTATCTACTGAGGAGGGCCAGGGCCGCAATCCTGCAGACCTGCTAGAGGGCTCTGAAAGAGTCAGAGCTGCGTCTTGGTGAGGCTAGAGTCTGCAGGAAGCCTTCCTTACAGTTAAGGAACATCATCAGCCAAGACCACCTGGCCCAGCATGAAGTGAGACACACCTAGTTTGCATGCAGAACCTTGTGGCACCGCTTCTAAGTAGCCTCAGCGGCATTCGGAATGAGCTACAGCACCTGTCTGTCGCCTCTTCATATGCTCCAGTCAGGACAAACAGCATCTGCTTCCTTTGAGTGGGCCATGGGTCCCAACCCGGAGCTCCTCAGGGGGCTGATGGACAAGGATTAACAGAGGCTGCATGAGCCTCGCCCACACCCCACCCCCGACCTGGACATGCTCTGGGTCACAGTCAGGATGCACTTTATCAGCATCACACCACCCGTGTGCTCTGAGACCACACCAGGAAAGCTGCTGCTTCCCAGAGGCCATCTCTCATGCTGAGCACAGCACTGCTGATTTCGTTTCCTTATGATCTTGAGAATGCACAGACCACAATTTAAATGTGATGACCCCTTCTGTGATCCCGCTTCCCTCTGGGGAGCTGGGACAGATGGCCAGAACAAGCCCATTGATAGTCTTGAAGAAAGCAAACCTGTGCTCATTGTAAGTGGCAGGTGAGAGGCTCACAGACGTACTACAGCCTAGTTTGTGTCTTCACAGTGCTTGTAGGATGTGTGGACGTGTGTATAAATGTACGATAGATATTTATATATGTTGCTATAGCGATTCACTGAAGGTCAACATACCTGGTGGACAGGGTCGGTGACAGGAAGTACAACAGTGTTTTGATGACTATTAAAAGCAAATCTGTATAAAGAAATTGTTTTGTTTTCCCTACCTGGCTTTTGTTTCTCATTTCTACGCCAATCTCTGAGCTGAGCGTTAAGAATAGGAAAGACAAACTGTCACTAAGAATCTCACAGTCTAATGATTGACTTCTAAGTTTAGGAGAACAAGTATTTCCCTCTGTGTCATTTTGTAAGAATTTCTAGACTGAAAATAAGGAAGGGGTAGGTCTTAAGTTTGGTGCATTGTGGGGAGCCCCTCAGCAGTGCAAACAGTTAATGAGTTTGGCTGTTAACCAGAAGGCTGGAGGTTTGAATCCACCCGGGGTAGTACCTCAGGACAAAGGTCTGGTGATCTACTTCTTTAAGAATCAGTCATTGAACCCTCTATGAAGAATAGTTCCACACTGACGCACATGGGATCTCCATGAGTCAGAATGCATTCCAGGGCAACTATGGAGACAGATGTGGTGGCTGGAGTAGCTACGTCCTGGGCTTCAAACTCAAGAAATCTGTTGACTCAGCTTCTAAAATCTGCATATTTTACATAAGCACCCCAGGTTACTCTTATGCAGGTGGCTGTAAATCACAAACTAAAAAACATTGTTGTATGGCATCAAAGACAACCTCTATTGTTGTTGTTAAATGCCTTTGAGTCAGTTCCGACTCATAGTGGTCCTATACAAGGTTTCTGAGGAGCATCTGGTGAGTCTGAACTGCCGACCTTGTGATTCAAACCAAAGCTTTTCATGAAAAATAGACAGATATGGGGATCATTCTATAAATGATGACATCAAGATCCTAAAATATGCCTTGGGACAAGTGCTTACTTGTGTTCTTTTGCCTTTCAGAATTAAAACAAAGGAGCTCTGGTAGGGTAGTGGTTATGAACTGGGATGTCAGCAGTTTGAAACTACCAGCTGTTCTGCGGGAGAAAGATGAGGCTTTCTGCTCCTGTAAAGATTTACAGCATCGGAAACCTTATACAAGGTCGCTGAGTCGGAACCGACTCCAAGGCACATAACTGCCACCACTCAACAATTATTTCCTGGAAATAGTTAACCAAGCAAACAAACAGAAACAATAGATATAAAATCAACCACAATCACCACCACCAATAAAAAGATGCACCTAGAGCCAGAGGTATACACATGCCCTACTTTATAGAGAGATTGAGAAAACTCGGTATCTGCCTTTTCATTCAGTTGTTAGTGTTTCCATTAGTGCCTTTGGCTGTCAAATACAGAGGAACTGTTGGCAGAAAAAACTGAATGGATGAATAGTCACATAGACCACTAAGATTTTTTTTTTTTCACCCCCAAGATGATGTAGCAAAATTTGAGGACTTCTTGCCCTCTGGTTGTTCGAGCATTCCAGCAATTGTCTTTCATTCCCACACTTCTAGGGCTGGGAGATCTTAATAATACCAGGGTAAGTCAAGAAGTTTTGATACTAGGACTCAAGTTCATATATGCATGGATATGCTTAAATATGTCTCTGTGGTCAGTGGATGGCTGCAGACAGGTTTTCTCAGCAATACACTTGTCTTAGTCTAGTTCGAGTGCCTTCAAAGACAAAGTCTAATCAAAGCAATGGCTTCCAAGGGGATCAACTAGGTCAGTTCAAATCAGCTCCGAATGTGATGGTGACCACTTTTTGGAATCCCAACGACACATTTTTGATAGATTTTCTCAAAGGACACAGGAATGATCGTGAGAGCTTCTTATGAAGAAGTTTTAAGACAATTGAAGATTGAACTGGTGAGAAAAAGGCCAGGAAAGTTGCTCTGAGGAATAAATGTTTCCATCATAACAATGCACCTGCTCATTTGTTGACGGTAGCAAGGGCTGTTCTATGAGAATGTAATTGGAAAACTTTCCCCCATCCACCCTGCATCTCCCTGATCTTGCCCTTTTAGACTTTTTTTTGTTCACCAAAAAATGGTTGCAGGGACACGAGTTGAGTCTAGGAATGCCAAAACTGCCATCTTGATGGGATGGATGTGTATTTATAGTCTTACATTATTGTTCTGTAGGTTAGAAGTCCAATGTGCATCTCACTGGACCAAAATCAAGGTGTTGGCAGGGGAGCTTTCCATTCTGGAAGACCTAGGGAGAATCTGTTTTCTTGCCTTTTCCAGTTTGTGACTTCCTTCCACTATCTTTAAAACCAGAACAGCAGGTGTAGTTCTGACATCTCATCACTGTGCCCTTGATTTTTACCTCATTATTAAAGGCTCTTAATGATTCCGTTGGTCCCAAATAATCCTGGATCATCTCCTCATCTGCAAGTCTCGTCTAGTCACACCTGCAGATTCATCTTTGCTAGGTAAACTAGAGAGACCAGGGATTATGAGGTGTACATCTCAGGGAGGAGACCCAGTACTGGGCCTATCATAACACTGCTAACTCAAGTGGCAACTGTTAGTGGAGCTAACTGAAAGTATTTAATGAAGTTGAAATACGTTTCTACCTCAAGGCATAACCTAGACTAGCAAATCAAGACAAAACCCAAATGCGAATGCTAGAAATACTCTGTTGGTGACTTCGTTAAGATTGCACAAGTGCAAGTCTCTTCTGTTTTTCACTTTGCTTGAAGATGCAAAGGTGGTTCTCTCTGAATTCTAGCTTTGATTTGCAGACATCACCTCAGGGATGAAGAGCTCTCTGTGGAGATGGCAATGAAGCTGGGCAGCCAATGCATCTGGGACCCTGTTACTCTTTGACTGTGACCCTTCAGTTAGATCTAAAGGAAGCATTTGGGTTGGCTTTCTGAGAACCTGCCCTTTCCGGGCCTGCCAAGTACCTGGATCTTTGTGTGCTATCTTCTCAGGGGTATGAGGGGGCACTGTGGTCTTTCCCTTTTGAACCTGACTTGCAAAGAATCTGGGTGCCCTCTGAATTCACCATTTCATTGCTGGTTAGATGTTAGTGGTATGTGACCAGAGACCCTTGAGTTTTGGTTACACCATCCCTGGGGTTGACTTAAGGCCCACGCTGCCCCACCTCAGGCGTTGACTGTGGAGCCTTAGCTGCTCAAGTGGAGTCCCTCTTTCCATCTGCCCACAAAGAGTTCTGATCACAGAGGAATATTTGGGCTTCTCCTGCTGGAGTAAAATATTCCTTTGTCTTCTTCTCAAACTGGCACAATCTAATTCTGGTTTGGCCTCCACTGTGTGTGTTTGGGGGGCGGGGTGGAGCAACAGAGCAGGGGTGGGGTGGTGTATGGTAGCAGAGCTTGAGGAGGAGGAGAGCTGAGGGCTGAATGAATGCCATGGTGATTCCACTGTCTGGCTCCCAAATGGCAGCCTGTGTCTCTGGAACATTCCAGTCTCTCATCTCCCAGCTCTGTTTCTTTCTACAGTTTCTTGTTCCTCCTTCCATACTCTGATTTGGGTGGTTCTTTTCTTTTCACTTTTTTCCTTTACTTCAGAAACACTTGTACTGGCATAACACAGGGCACAGGAATGTCACTTCTGTGTAACAGAAAAATGGATGTTCATGTGCCCCAATACACCTATACATGAAGGATCATACCCAGAAAGTGCACACAGCCCCAACGTGGTAACAATCAAAATGCTCACCATCAATAGAGGATTCAGACCCCTAATCACCCTACAAGACAGAGTTGAACTACCCCATAGGGTTTCCAAGACTGTAAATCTATGTGGAAGCAGACTGACACATCTTTCAACAGGGTGACTGGTGAGTCTGAACTGCCGACTTTTCAATTACCAGTCCAGCTCTTAAACCTCTGTGCCACTGTTGTTAAGTACCATTGAATCAATTTTAACTCAATAACCCAATATAGGATTTCCCAGGAGTGGCCAGTGGGTTTGAACTGCCTACCTTGTGGTTCAAACTTAGCTGTGGTCCTGCACTTTTCCTACAGCGCCACACCAGGACTCCACTGTGCCACTAGGGCTCCTTATAAACAAATTGTGGTGTAATTTATTAGCAATGAAAGCAGATGAGTCAGTGACGACTATTAATCACATGGGAAAATAATCTGTGTGATTATAAATTAAACTCAGATCCACCAAGAATGCATAATAAGCAGAA